CATACACACATACATACATACATATACATCTAATAGCACTTTACACATATACCTATAGCCTCCCCTAACCATAACTTCTGGATCCGCCCCTGTAAATGGTTAGAAGAACAAAATGTAGATATTGTTTTGCTACAAGAAACATACTTTGATAAAGCATCAGTAAGTTGTCTTTCTAAATTTGGAAAGATGAAGCATATCACAGCTTCGGATCAACCAACAGTAGAGGTGTTTCGATACTGTTTAAAACAAGTTTTGACGCCAAAAACATCTATTGTAAATTTGTAGATGGAGAGGGTAGGAATATAATTGTAAGTCTAAAGCATAAAGATAAAACATTAAATTTAATTAATCTATATTCACCAAATAATTATAAAGAAAGATCACTTTTCTTTAAAAAATTGGAAAAAAAGATAGATAGTCTTTGTTACGGAAATGATGAATACATTGTCATGGGTGGTGATATGAACTGTGTTCTAGATCGCAACGTTGATCAAAGAAACAGTATCCCCCACTATAACTCACCGTTAGCTTTTAAAAATTGTATGTATAAACATAAACTAATTGATATATGGCGACTATGTCATAAAAACACGTTTTAATTCACATGGAGAAGAAAAGATACATATAGGAGATTAGACTACTGGATCGTATCTGGATTTGTATGTAAAGCATTACATACAAATGGCGATATAGTGCATACTGACATAAGGCCGGCCCTATTTACTGATCACCAGGCGATTCCATTTAAATTGTTTATAGATCAATGTGAAAAAGGTCCAAGTATCTGGAAAATAAATAATAGCATTTAGAAGACAACACTTATTCCTTTAATATATTACAAATTATTTAGAAGTTAAAAAAAATAAATATAATCTAAATCCAGAGCTTCTGTGGGAGTATCTGAAAGTGAAAATAAAAGAATACACATGTGAATATTGTGCAAAAAAAGAAAGTAGGAAAAAAGAAAAAAAAGAAAAATTACTTAGAGAAGTCAATGTACTTACAAATAAGTTAAACATTGTTTACGATAAAGATATTGAATCTGTTTTGAAAAGTAAGACAAAAGAATTAGATTCTATCTATGAGTCCGACGTTCGAGGCGCACAAATTCGCTCAAGAATACAATGGTTCGAAAAGGGTGAAAAAAAAATCAATAAATTCTTCTTAGGGCTAGAGAAAAGCAAGGCAAAAAGAAAGCACATCACATGTGTACTAAAAGAAAATGGTAAATAAACGTCAAATATTGGTGATATCCGAAAAGAGCAAGTTAAGTTTTATGGAAACCTATACAAAAATAAAAATATACCTGAGATAATGATTAATTCATATATAAAGAAAACGAACCTTAAAAAAAATTCTCCGAAAACGAATTAGAAGAATGTGAAGGTGAAATCACGGTTGAGGAATGCACAAAT